AGTCTTGCAGAAGTGTTCTCCAGAGCTGTCGTCTATCCTTTCAAAACTATTTAACAAGTGTTTATTAGAGTCTTATTTTCCAGCCTGCTGGAAAGCAGCATCTGTTATCCCTATTTTCAAAAATTCTGGAGTGCGATTTGATTCGTCTAACTACCGTCCCATTAGTCTTCTTTTTATCATAAGCGAGGTTTTGAATCTTTAATTAACAAACACTTAATCTCTCATCTCGAATATCATAACCTACTTTCTGATCATCAATATAGATTTCGATCTTCTCGTTCTACGGCTGATTTGCTAACAGTAATAACCGATAGATTTTATCAAGCATTAGATAAAAGTGGAGAGGTTAAGGCTATTGCTCTTGACATTTCTAAGGCGTTTGATAAAGTTTAGCATGCTGGTCTTCTCCATAAGCTTTCTTCTTACGGTGTATCTGGAAACATCTTTAAGATTATTGAATTCTTTCTTTCCAATCGTAGTATAAAAGTTGTCCTCGATGGACAGCACTCTTCTTCTTATTCTGTAACCTTAGGGGTTCCTCAACGTTCAATCCTTGGCCCTATACTCTTTTTAATTTACATTAACAATCTTCCAGATATTCTCACATCTAAGGTGGCATTGTTCGCTGATGATACTGCCATTTATTCTTGTCACGATAAGAAGCCAACTCCCTCTGATTGCTTGCAGGGGGCATCTAAGCTTGAAAAGGCTGGTGAACTTTAATTCAGATAAAACTCAATTTTTTCAGCCAATCGTTATCGCAATAATTTCGACCTTCCTATATTTATGAACGGTAATGTACTCGATGAGTCTCCCACCCTTCATCTTCTAGGATTAACTCTTACTTCTGATTTTTCGTGGAAACCTTATATCAAATCCGTTGCAAATTTAGCATCTGCTAAAGTCGCTTCTCTTTATCGAGCTTGTCACTTTTTTACTCTGGATTCTATTCTCTATCTCTATAAATCTCAAATCCGGCCTTGTATGGAATACTGTTGCCATATCTGAGGTGGATCTTCTAATGATGCTGTTTCTCTTTAAGACAAGGTGCAAAAACGCATTGTAAACATAGTTGGACCTACTCTTGCAGCCAACCTTCAACCTCTGTCACATTGTCGTAATGTTGCTTCTCTTTCTCTTTTCTACAAGTACTATAATGGGCACTGCTCTAAAGAGCTAGCATCTCTTGTGCCATCAACAAAATTTCATTCTCATGTTATTCGTCATTCAATTAAGTCTCACCCTTTTTCTGTTACTGTTTCTAAGTGCTCCAAAAACTCTTATTCGTGTAGTTTTTTTCCTCGAACATCAGTTGTTTAGAATTCGCTTCCTTCATCTTGCTTTCCTGATTCATATAATTTGCAATCTTTTAAGTCGTCTGTCAATTGTTATCTTGCTCTATAATCTTCATCTTTTCTCTTCCAGTAACTTCCAACACTAATTAGTGGTTGCTTGCAGCCTTGTTGGAAGCGAAGATGTTAAAAAAAAAAATAAGTAAATATTATATGTTGGATTGGATATTAACCACATAAAAGTAGCATGTTGAAAAAATTAAAATACGCCACCGACTTATTTAATTTATTAATTATTCTTTAAAATAAATTTTAAACTAAAAAACAAATTTATTAAAATGCGCCAATAGACTAATTTTTTTTTTTAAACATGCTACTTTTATGTGATTAATATTAGGTCCAAAATATATTATTTAAAAGAATAAAAAATTTTATAAGGTTGAACCTCGCCCACATCTGCACTGAAATTAATGTCGACAGACTATTATTAGATTCGCAGAGCTGAACTATACATCATTTATGAGAGTAGTTGGTGGTACCATAATAAATTTTACAGTGTGTCAAAAGCACTGATTCTCGCCCACTTGAACTCAACCTCGCCATGTTGATTTAAAGTTGCCCAGATGATAATGAAACTTTTATTGTATAGTAGTATTAGCAAAAATACGACAGTACAATACTAACCAAAGAACAACTGTTTTCAGTTGTATTAACTGATATATTCTCAGCTATGTGTAGATAGTTTGGTAAATATGCATCACTAGGAATAGCCTGAGGATTAAATGGGTAGATTCCACACGACTTGAACCCAGATGTAATGCTTTTGTACTTTTTTTTTTCATTGCTTTTTCCCAAGCTGAAGCAAATATCCCTACAAAATTTGAACAACAAGTAATAATTCCTGGAAACTGACCCATCAGATCTTGTGCTATAGAGCGATAATAATCCTTAAGTGACTTGAATAAGGTGCGATCGCATGATTGAAGCCAGTTTGATGTGTGTGAAGGCATTTTAACTATATGTACCTGGTTCTGGATAGCAAAATTAACTAGCTCAATAAAGCTGGTTTGCGCCTATCCAGAATTAATTACTGAGGACGTTGTGGACCAATATTTTTTAAAAATGTCTTGGTAAACCATAGTTTTGCTAGGCCCTGTTTAGTCCAACCACTATCGGACCAGCTCCAGTTTGTAACCGGAGGCGCGAACTCAGTGTTAAAACCCCATAAAGACCTGGATATCTTTCCCTTTACTATAACTGGGGTGGAATAAGCTTGCCCTGTGCATTTACACATGTAAAAACAGTGATTGACTCTCGATTTCCACTCGTTCGACTATAGAGGTTTTTTGTGCGTTTTCCTGCAACCACTTAACTTGGTTTTACGTCAAGTTGCAGAGTTCAGTCTCATTCATTCCATATGGATTCTGGCTTAACGTGAAAACTATTTTTCACTATGATGTCATTCAAAGCACTAAAATACTTTGACAATTTATCTTTATCCATACACTGATGTTGAACTAAAGCTGTACCCTCAGGTTGTCGCAAAGTAAATTTATGCCAATGCCGGTGTTTAACCCTAATCCACTACTGGTTGCTTGGAAGCCCTTTCTTGAAGTTGAATTTACGTTTTGCGGCAAGTTTCCCAGCATAATTCAGGAACAATGACTTTCTAAAACCTACCCTTAACTTTGTTCTATTATAATAGAACGAAGTAATTTAAGTAAGTAATGCCAGTAATTACTGGCATAGTTCATAAGTTTTTTTTCCAGAGCAAAAGGTAGGGTAGGTTTTCTTTGTGGCTTTGCTCCAATAGCATTTTCTCCAGAAACTCTATCTCTTAGTGTTGTACAATACACTGTACAATATTGCTGCCTTACGCACTGAAAATGATGGCTCTGAAATGATCACTCCATTTCAGGATTTTGTCCCGTTTTTCCGAACTACAAATATTAACACGTGGTGAAAACTATATGTTAGTATTTGTAGCCTAATTCCAACCCTAGAATTTTGCAATACTTAATTTACAATGAAGTAAATAAGCATTTAGCTAAGTAGTTACAAAAATCTATTAAAGAAGAATAAAAACATTCTTATTATGCATAAAATGAGTTTTGGATTTTTTGAACCTAACGTTTTGGACCTAATGTTTTAGTTATTTTAATAACTAAAACATTAGTTCTTAAATTGAAAATAAATAAACAATTGTAAATAAAATATGCATTATTTCTAAACACTAAAAAATTATTTCTAAAAAAAAAAGTATAAAAAGATAAATTCCAAGTTCTTTTTTACCAAAAATTATCAGGAAAAGAAAATACAATAGCAGAATAAGTTTACTTATTTGCGATACTTTCTTTGTTCTTTATCTATTTAATTTATTTAGTTTTGATGAACATAAGCTTTTTATACAATTACTCAACGCAGAGCCATAGCAATTTATTTTTTAATTAATTTCCATAATAATAATACACAGAGGAAGAATATTGTTTTGAAGGCAATCAAACGTGGATATCATCAATTTTTGTCAAAGCAATTATCAAGTAAGTTTGTGGTTCATTTTTACGATAATGCCAAAGATGTTGAATTAAGGGTAATTAATTTATAAAATAATTTCCTCCATAATACATAGAATAAAAATACATAAAAAATACTCCTTTGAACGCATTCAAAAAGATTATGCTCCTAATATGTATCCTTACGAAATTTTATAATTTTGTTTTTCAATTATTTTTTAAATATGTCATCTCAGTTTAATGGAAAAATAATGGGGGTCACGGCGAAAGTTTTTTTTTTGTTAAAACTGCTGGTAGCGTAGGTTTTAATATATCATGCCGCATCTATTCTTAAAATTAAAAGATTAAATACATTGGGCAACAATATACTTATTCTGTGGGCGAGATTGATTTAATTTGGTAGGTTGAACAAAAAACAATTTTATGCATACTCTACCATTTCAAACGATTATAACCGAGCCGGCAAATAACGTTGAAATAACGTTGAAATATCGTTGAAACCTAATATTGAATTTACGTTGATTTAACGTTTAGAATGAAAGTTTTTTCAACGTTGATTTATCAACGTTAAATCAACGTTAGGTTCAAACATTATATCAACGTTGATTCGACGCAAAAAAACGTTACGATAACGTTTAAAATTATAGTTTTTTTAACGTTGATTTATCAAAGTTAAAACGATTGTAAAACACTTTTTCACCATCAAAACGTTTGAGTTATGTCATAATCCATATATGTATGTAAACGTGCTATATGCGTCAAAATGTGATCACCATCAAAACGTACTATGCATGTACATTAGTGTTGCTGTACATTATCAAGGTATATTATGGATATTAAATCTATACATAGCCTATACTTAGACTATTTAGAACTTTTTCAGTTTAGTTTAGTTAAAATAGCTAGGTATGATTAAAGAAAGAGATAAAACTTGTTTTATTCAAAAATACATATTCAAATAATACATATATTTACATGTAATTGAACAAAATCTACACAAATTTCTTCTCTTTTCCACCACCTTTTTGAAATAAAACGTAATTTAGAAAATCAAACAATGTTCCATTAACCGAGGTTTCTTTTGGTCCATTAAATACAATAGAAGAAGCTGTAAATAAAAAATATATATAAAAAAAAATCAAAAAGGAAAAATTTAAAAAATATATAATGAATGGAAAAGTGTTACAACTTATGAAGGTATATCTTTTTCAACGCCATATAGATTAGTGTTCTTAAAACATATTTTTCCACCTTTGCCCTTCATATCCGTGGAGGCCATATAACTATAGAGGTCATATAGTTGGTTATTAATAATTTTTTCAAATATTTAATTTAAATAAACAACCTTTTTTCAAAATAAATTAATAATCAAAATATAAAGCATTTCTAGCATAGAAAAATAATTTTCGGGGTGGCCACATAAAATTTTTATAAGAATTTTATGTGGCCATTTATTAATGGTTTAACGTTCATGTTTATACACTTATGGGGCTTGGACAGGGATCAAATAATATCATTTTTTATGTTATATAGCTTTAAGGCGTTAACCAGTTTTGCAGACCAAGAATGGGTATTTTGAACATTATACTTCCATCAAAAATTAAAAAAATAAGAGTTAATGAGGAGCTTTGATCAAATTTTTACCTTTTTATAGGATAATAGAGGATTTTAGAAGTGGTTTTTAAAAAAAGAGGACTTTATAGGATTTTAGAGGAGCTGCGAACACCCTGATTATCAATGAGGTAAGTTTCCAATATTGTTTTTGATTACCTCAGCATAATTTTGTCTATTCTATCTTTAGAAGACGTTCCACCAATTAACTGTAATTGATTTATCTGTAAAAAACATAAAGTAAATCTAATATTATGCTTGTGGAGATATATTATATTGTGGAGAACCATCCAAACCACACAAGTGGAAAATTTGCATCCAAGTTTCCACTTGTGTGCAAATCTTCCATACACTTGCAAAATTTTCTCATTACCACATTTTTCTTTTGTAGTTGTGAATTTAAAATTTTCTCAATACTGTTTGCTTTCTTTTGGAATTGAAATAGTTATACAAATAGTTATATATTTTGTATCAACAAAATAACTCTTCTTACCACATTATTTAAAAAATAATAATTGTAATATATAGATGCAACACCTAACGAGAATTTAGTTTTTATTTGTATAAACTTAAGCCAATTCTTCTCTGCATTTTAGTGCGGTCAATGCTTTGGTACCTGGAAGCCGACAAACAGTTTTATCACTAATCCAATTAAATGGAATAACTTCTTCTTGTAAATCTTCATTCGAAACAGCTCCTTTCCACATATTTGATTTTGAAAAAATTACATGAACTAATAATAAAATGAAGAAGCTATAATACTAACAGGCCTAATTAAACAAACTAAATTTGAACATTTTATAACCATGATACTTGCTAAACAATAATATTAGTAGACATTATTAGCAAAGATAAGATTTTCTTTATTTTATAAATTTATCATATTTTAAACTCATTTTTATTAATTTATTTATTACTCTATTATTCAGCAGAGTTCTGAATATATTATGTTCAAATAACTTAAGGCTCAATAACAAAGAAAAATAATGAAAGAATCCTAGGTTGCTAAAACATAAACATCTACATAAGATAATTATGGAATATTGAACAAAAATAGAAATACAAAAATACTCATTAATATAAAATATAATGGTATAATATAAGGTATATTATAATATATGACACAATAATATCTACTTTTAATTGAAATATAAAAGCAACAAAAATTAAAAAAGAAAATATTTTAATAAATAATAAATTATCATTCAAACAATTTTAGAGACCAAAAAATAACTTGTAACTTATTTTTTACTCATCTTTATCTAATAAACATTAATATTAATACCAATTTTAAACATTATTAGAATTTTTTTTTTTATTAAAAAATAAAAATATTACATTAGTTACTTTTTGGGCTTTTCTTATTTTACTTAAAGCGTCAACTCAATCCTAGGCTTTTTTCATAATTGAGTTTTAATTTGTAATGTTGAATTAACACTGAAAAAAAAAAAATATTAGCAGACAAAAAGAAAATATTTCTTTATTGAAATATATGTAAATAATTCAATAAAGAAATTTTAGATTGGTTTTTATAAATATAAATTTATATCAATTATTCTAAATTTTTTTCTTTTCCGCCACCTTCTCGAAATGGAACGCATAAGAAGTTAGACGAAATGCCATCAATTAAAGTTTTAGTTGCTCCGTCGTATTTAATAGAAGAAGCTGTTAATAAAAAAGAATTAGAAAAATATAAATTAGTGCTCTTAAAGCATATTTCCACCTTTCCCCTTCATATTCATGGAGGTCACAAAATTGTTGGTAAATATTCTAAATTTTAATAGAAAAGAGAACTGATATTAAATATGCGAGAACTAATATTTAAATTGAACTCATTATCAAACTATTTTTTTGCTAAATAATTTAATCCTTAAAATTCCTGAATAATTAAAAATTATTTTGATTACCTCAGCATTATTTTGTATAATTCTGACTTTTAAAGATATTCTATCAATTGCAATTGATTCACCTAAAAAAAAAACACGTAAAGCTAATATTATTGTTTGAAATTTTAATTATCTTTATACAAATACTCATCATATATTTTAAGTGACTGATAAAAATAGATTTAATTAAAATAACTTCATTTGTATTAAAAAAATTATATTAAAGCCTTAATCATACATTATACAAGAGTATTTTGTAATACAATCTAAATAGTTGTTGTGATTTGTAATTACTTTATCTAAAAAATTAGCTTCTGTAAGCTTTAGAAATTTTTTAAAGAAATTATTGATGAATTTGGAGCTACGGATACTAATGTTTTTATATTGTTGTAATGTTTGTATTCATTCCCTGTCAGTTTATGTAAGTCAAAATTTTTTAAGTGTTTCTATAATAAATTTAGTGTAAGTCTGAATAATTTAATTTCTAAAACCTGTTTTGCATTGCCTGTCTTATAACATCTTTACTTGGAACAAAAACCACGTCTTTCAAAGTGTGCTAGAAGCTTTCAACCATGAAGAAAATATTGCATTCGCTAACCCTAAAATTATATTAAACCTGTCAGCAAGATCAGCTGTCAGTAATCCAAGTATTAACATCATTCAAAATTCATTTTTGCTGCATTACATTTATTTTAATCCAAGTAGTTAAGGACTTTTTTAAACTTCAAAAAACAGAAGTAGATGTTTTTTTAATATCACTTTATCTCTTTTTGATTAATGGTGATACTGCACTAACTGATGAAACACATTGACAGATGTAAAGCCAGTATAAAAGTCGCAAGATCTATCATTTTTAAAATAAATGTTTGTATACAAGTAAATTGCAATAACAACGATTTGTTTGGATTACGTTTATATACAAATTTGTCTGGTTTCATAGTAATAACTGATGTAGTTGAAGTTAATTTTTCATATAAATCTTTTTTTTTTTTTTTTTCATTTCGTACTGAAGTTCTTTTTTAAAGTTATTTATTTCCTTTTTTAATTCTTAATGCTCTATTATAAAACAACGCTTAACATTAAATTCAACATAATTTAATGGATCATTATTTGAAAAAATTGTATTATTTACATTTAATAATAAAAGTATTATTTACATTTAATAATTAAAGTCTTTGAGCATTGTAGCCCAAGTTAAACGAAAAATATCGATTTTTAAACGATAATGCTCTTTCAGGAAAATCGTCTGAACATGTTTTCGATCTCTTTAAAAAAATTCTATATGGTATAAATTTAGTATTTACATTTTTTTCTATTATAAATCTCTATAACTTAGACCGTTGAAATGTTTACCATTTCTGCGCGCGCATAAATTTTATGAAAAGATGTATTGTATTTTTTGTCAACAATGATTTAACGTTGAAATAACGTTAAATAATCAACGTTTAAACTGTAACGTTGAGTTAACGTTAAAATAACGTTAAACAATCAACGTTTAAAACGTAACGATGATTTAACGTTGTAACATAGTTGAACAACGTTGAAACAACGCTTCAACCGAATTTCAACGTTATTTCAACGTTATTTGCCGGTGTAGTATGAGATTTTTACTCCAATTATTTTTTTACTCCCCTAAAAAAATTTTATATGAAATTTGTGCCGCGGAGTAAAAAATGCGTATGAAATTTTTACTCCCTTTATGAGATTTTTACCGTTATGTTAATATAGTGCTTAATTAATATATTTAATAAAAGTTAAACTTTTAATAATAACTTTTTTTAACTTAATTTAGTTTCTACATTTTAGTGGGATTAAAATTTCTTATATTATTTTAAATAAACGGTAAAAATATAAATTTTACAGATAATCTTTTTTTAACTAAAAGATCATAGAATATGCAAGTACTTGTTTGATCAAAATGTGTACTTGTTTTATTAAAAAATGAAGGGGAATATCCAAAATTGTTTTATTTTACTATTAGGCTATGGTACTTGTTGCAAACTTGTTAGAAAAGGAGTTTTCTAAACAACAAGTTTACCTTGCTAACCTGCAGAATCTGAAAATCGCAGCTTTTTATTTCTTTCTGACTTTTTTTTATTTAACAATTCACATCTGCAAAAAAAAAAAAAAAATTTATCGTAGGTTACCCTATGTATCAGATAGGGTTAAGATTTTTTTTTTAATTAAACACATATTGTTATATAGGTTTATTTCTGGATTCTTTGCTTTCGCTTTACTAATGTGGAATCAGTCAGGCATATGAAAAAGTATTGCAACCAAATTTAAAAAGACAAACATTTTTATTCCTTCTCCTACATACCGTTGTAAATTCGCTTATTTTTACGTTTTGAAAACATTTGTTTACAGACTTAAAATAAAAATATATTTAAAAAATGTCTAAAAATTATGAAAAGAAGATAATTTATAAATTTTTTTTTTTTTTTGATAATATTTTACAACAGTACAACATTAAAGTGACTTGCAGTTGAATTGTCAAGGAATATAGCATGTTCACTAAGCTGTGTAAGTGTTAAACTACATGGGTAAGTCAGCCATTTCAACTTCTCTCCATATTTGCTATATACTTTTATATCAATACCCATGAACGAGGCACACCCAATTATTTCTGTATCAGTTGCCCAAGTTGTGTTATCACTCATACCACTTTCATTTAGATAAGTTATTATTGATTGATTCATATATAAAGTCATTTCATTATTAATATGAGTACACATATGTTTAACAACTTTTTCTCTTATAATTTCATAACTGCATTCACTGCCTGAAATGATATACGATATTGCCCTAAAAAAGCAATTACCATCGCCTATGGTTTCGTGAATTTGCTTCGGACGTGAAAGTAGATTAATATCTGCAATAAAAATATTTTTGGTAATACCAATTCCAAATTTTTCAGAAATAGAAGTTCTCATTTCAATAGTTGCATATTTTCCGATCTTATCATTAGAAATTTGCATATTAATTTCATCAAATGTGATTTCTTGTTCATCATTAGTTATTTTTTCATTATATAAACATAACTTTGTCAAGTTGTACTTTGTTTTCAAAATTTGACCCTTTAGATTTTTCAAAGTGCAGTTATTTGTGCTAGAAATAGAAGTTACAATGAATGGTCCAGTCCAAGGCTTTACAAGTTTACCACCTTTTCTATCATCACGTCTGCTATTTCTTAGTAACACTTTTTTATTTATGCTAATTTCATTATTTGGTGCAATTCTCTTGTCGTAATCATGTTTTTGTCTTTTTTGAGATTTTTCAATATTTTTATAAGCATCGTCAAAAATTTTATTCTTCATTTTATTCATTGCATGAAAGGTATCTGAAACTATTTTTTTGTTAGAGAAATCATCATTGCTAAGAGCGTTACTATCATTAAAGTCAATTAAATTGCAATCTATATCAATAGGAAGAACTGCTTCCCTTTGGTAAAGCAATGCAAACGGTGAAAACCCAGTAGATTTGTGCTTTCTAACTCTTAAAGAAAACAAAACACTATCAATAATGTATGGCCATTCCAAAGCAGCCTCATCAAGCACTTTTACTAATATACGTTTAATTGTTTGATTTTGTCTCTCTACTAATCCATTAGCTTGAGGATGATATGCACTTTTAATTCTTTGAATTGTTCCTGTTTTTGAGTAAAGTTCTTTAGAAATTTCATTTACAAACTCACAACCTTGGTCATTTATTTGAATTTCAAAACAGCCATGTCGACAAATCTGTTTATACAAAAAAAAAGCCACAGCTTTAGCAGTTTTATTGGTAAGTGCTTCTGCTTCAACCCATTTACTGAAGTAGTCGATTAATACAACCAGATATTTGCAACCGTTAACTTCTGGTAGCTGTGTTAAATCGATTCCTACCTGCTTCATATTGCCTTTAGGAATTGAAATATTTTGCAGCAATGGTTTCGACTGAAGTTTTCTGTTCTTTGACTTTTGGCATTGGTCACATTTGGAAACATAAGTTGTAATATCTTTTATCATTCCATACCAGAAAAATCTACTTTGAATGTGATAGGTTGTGTTATTAATACCTGTATGACCAGATAAAGCTTTAGACTCAACAGAGACATCGTTTCCTTCATGAACAAACTTTATTATGTTTTGTTGTTCATCTCTACTCCAAATAACTTTTCTCTATAAAAAGAAGCTGTAAACCATCAATATAATGAGAATCAAAACTAAATTAATTTTCATTATTTATTAAATAAATTAATTGTAAATATTCGTGTTTATTTGGTTACTAGATTCTAGTTGCAAAATGGCAAAACTATTAAAACATTTTGAAATAATAGCATAACTTTGCAGCTTTATTTAAATGATATAACTCATTATTATCAACTATAAATGGCTTAGTTTGTCTTCTAAAATTGGCTTTATCGCCTTTATTTAAAACTTCTTTTGGATATATTTGGTATTTTAAGTAACTAAAAATGTCTGCAAATCTAGAGTGCATGTTTTATTGATATGCAATTCCGCTAATAACAACTTGAGAGTAAAAATAAAATAGTGAGAGTAAAAATCTCATATGCTTTTTTTACTCCGCGGTAAAAACTTCATACGATATTTTTACTGGGGAGTAAAAAAAACACGGGAGTATAAATCTCATACTACACCGGCTGGGAAATGTTATTACAATCAGAGATTAAACAGTGGAGAAGAAAATTAAATTATAATTTAACATGCATAATAAATAATTAACTCGGTAGATTTGCATCAGCTGGTTTGAATTCGGCAAATTAAGTAGCAAAAAAATTACCAAAAACCAACAAAATTTCTTTAAGAGAAACTTTTTTATTTGCGATTCTTTTGAGGTCAAAGTTGTTTTGATGTTAAGGCAGTGCCGGATCAAGGGGGCTAGGGGGGACTATAACCCGGGGCCCCGCAAATTTAGGGGCCCCCAAAAATTTTAGAAGATCTTTTTTTTAAAGTCATTTTTAGGTTCTGGCCCATAAAAAGGCCTTCAAAAACAAAAATAGGTCCGGGCTCCAAGAAGTCATAATCCGCCACTGTGTTAAGGCTGATTTGCTGCTCTAAAAGAACGTCTTTTTGATGGTGCAGCGTGTGAATAAACTGACATATAAGAAATTAAAGATGGTGGAATTGAATTACTATTAAAAATTTAATTACTAGGAATTAAATTTTTATTTACAAATTTTTCGCGTTTTATTTTTTTTCGTACGTAATAGACTGAATTTATTTATTTTTATTCTTTATGACTCTGGTGACAGTATCTTCATGCATTGTAAGTGGTATTCTCGGTGCAGAACCTTCAGAGTTTTGTCCAATTTTTATTAACTTTAATACGTAAGAAATATACTAACACTAAATTAATACTTTCGGATAAAGAATAAAAGTTTTTTAAAAAATTGTATGTTATTTAAAAATTGCTATATACATATATAAACTTTAAATTTTCACCTCATTTTCACATTTAATAAGTTAAAACATTTTAAATAATATTTTAATAAAAATAATTTGTTTTACTAAAAAAGATTACTAAAAAATAATTCGTGTCACGTAACACTTTCATTAATCGTTGGCCGAGTTTGAAATTCTTGAACTTTGGTTCTACCCTGCGCAGAATTCGAAAGTCTTTGTAGTTCGTCTTTAATAGCGCGTATAAGAGGTTGAGATCCAGGCTTTCTTTTGATATCACCATAGTCGTTCATATCAAGTACAGTTGAATGAGATTGAGGAAACCCAGATAACATATTTCGGTCCATGACATTCTTAAAGAAAAAAAAAAAAAAAATTAAATGATGCAAATGATGCAAATATAACTGTCAATGTAATAAACTCTTACAAAAGGTTGTATAGGATTCACAAGGGTTTCAAAGTGTGGAGTCCAAACCATATTTCCAACACCATCTGGTCGTTGATGAACAGGTGTTACGTAAACATTTTGACCAGGAGCACCATAAGGAAGAGTTAATGATGTTGGTATCTGACCATAAACGGGATATCCGAGACGCTGATTTACAAACCTTTAAACAAAATTACTAAGCTTCATTTCTGGTGTTTACTTAAAAACCCGTCATACTCAAATCAAGACTTATAATTATACAATATAACTATAAATTAGGTTAAAGCTTCTTTGGAAAAACTCGAGTCATTAATATAACTAAACGGTTATATTAATGACCTTTGGAAAGGTCATTAATGTAACCGTTATTAAAACTGAGGTTCTAAGATTACTATCATTTTAAACAAAGTTCAAATTAATATTGTAAATAAACAAGATAACTTAAGAAAATTTGAAATATTACTTACATTACATAATATAGTTTGCATTGAGCATAAAACAGTTAAATTTTTGTATTTATTTTTTAAAAATTAAACAATTATAATATAATTAAATATAATTACAACTTTATTTGTACTCATTTGAACATACCTCTGTCTTTCAACAGGATCCCATGAAAGCAAAGGCTCAACAAATGGTGTACTGTTTATATATGGAGAGTATGGATTGGCATAAGCATTTTGTAAAAACTTTGAATCAGAGGTAGATCCTACAGGAATAGCAGTTCTTCCAAGCGTAGGTGCAATAGGAAGAGCTGCTGGAGTTGAACTTAAACCATTCTGAAGTTTTTGTGAAAAATCAGGTTTTGGTAAAGTATTTTTTATAAGAGGTTCATCTTTAATAAGATTTTTTTGATAGTTTTTAATTGCACTAAAAGTGTCATCAAGTAAAGAGTGAATACGTTGTCTAGCCTCTCGCATACTTATATCTGTATCACTAGATTCCATCTCGTGTATATTATCCTGAAAGCTGTTAAACACCTACAAGAAAAGAAAAAAAAATATTTAAAAAAAAGGGTTCAAATCTATACAAAAGTTTTAAACTTGATATACTGTTAGAAAATCCGTTGATAAATAAAAAAACAAAAAATCTATTAAGTATTTCTTGTAAAATTAATATATGTAGTAAATACTGTTTGCTGAGTAGATTCAGGAGCTTTCTTATATTCGCCTGAATTCAGATCTAACATTTTTTTCATTAAATGTCCATCAACAGCATTAGGTGAAATATGGACTTTGTATTTGCGTCGCATTCGTCTCCTTTTACGACCCTTTCGAGTTGTAAGACTATAAAAATTACATTACTTTATATATCATTATTAAATATCAACTATTCAAAAAATATTTTAATAATAGTATAGCTTGATTTTGATTCATAATTTGTTTTAAATAAGCTAACACTATAATAACCTTGGTTCAAGAATATCATCAATTTTTTTCTGTTCTCTGCTCCAAACTTTATCTTTAATAGTGAAAACAGGTTCAGCAGTTGCAGAAACGGGTGATTTAAAGAACTGATTACGTTGACGCTGCTTATTTCTTTGACGCTCCACTTCCATTTTGTGCTGCAAGTCTGAATCCATCTATAAAAAAAATTGCAAAACGTTTATTCAAATAAACTTACAATTTAAAAAATTAAATAACTCCACAATTATCCAAAAATTTAATAAATTACTGTAATAATTTCAGGTGTTTTATTTGAATGTTGATATAGTGATGTTTGCATATTTTCAGTCATATTTTGTTGAGCACTGATTAAGGATGTTTTTTTCATTGATAATAAAGGTAAAGGACCAGTTGGATTTGTAAATGAGTCTACCGATGATTCTATAGTTCTTCTAAATCGTACAGGGGGCGCAGGTGTCAAGCT